TTCTATAACTCGGCGAAATCAAGTCCAAACGACCTTAAAATTTTTTCATAACCCCAGTTTTGATCATAGAATCGAAAAATAGAAAAAAAAGTATAGATCAAAAAATTTCACTTGACAGCTTTTCTCGCTGGGCTGGTAAAACGTCTCTTAAGAATCAATTAAATATTTTTCCACCTTATTTAAATATTAGTCCGTTCAATATTTTTCTATCTGACCTTCTATTAATATTAATATCATCGCCAGCTTTAATATTTGTTTTTTTTAAAAATAATTAAATATTTTTCCATCTTACAATAAGAAAAATATTTTTTTTAGTTGCGATAGAAAAATATTTAATTGATTTTTAATATTAGTAGTTTAATATTTTTCTTTCTAACATGTTTCGGTATACCCAAACCGTGCGAGTTGTTATCGTATTATATTTGCTTGAAGAAGACAGTCAGCATGAGTAAGAAAAGATTTCATTATCAAGAGAACAAGAACAGGATGAAAATGTTATGAAGTAGTATGAAATTGTTTGTCTTGTTGTAAAAAAGAAAGAAAAATAACAAAGACGTGAAGGTAGTTGTTAGACTCTTTCAAAAGTTTCTATTACTTATTCTGTACTCATCACATGGCTGGAACTTCTCCTCAACTGAAAAATGATTGTAAAGCTTGTGAACGAGGTGTGTTCACTTGCACTGGATGCAAAAGTAATTTTTGTAAACCACATTTTATCGAACATCGTCAACAGTTATCAGTAGAGTTTGATCATTTAATCTACGACTATGATTCACTTCAACAGCAACTACTCGTCGAACAACCCACTTCGACTGCTGAGAAGATATTGTTAGATAATGTTGATAAATGGGAATTGGAAATGATAAAACGTGTAAGAGAAACTGCGGAACGTACTCGTGAGATCGTTTGGCAGTTCTTCAAAAAAAGAAATGAGAACATTTCTGAACAACTGCAGAGTCTGTCAAGTGTTCTTCGAACAGCAAAAAACGATGAAAATTACGTTGAATCGACACTCGAAAAATGGAAGCAACAAATAATAGAGATGAAGGAGACAGTCGAAAAGCATATATCAACAGTTCACATCAACATTGACACAAGCGGAAGTGATCAGATCTATTGGGAGGAAATGATCAAAGTCAAGCAGCAATCAGAAATATCAAAACGAGTATTGACACTTGGAAAGGAGCGATTTCAGTCCACACTTGGTAATGTTTGTTTACGAGAAGATGGATTGATAGCTGAGGGCAGAGAAGCGTGGTGGAGTGACGTTAGAGGTTCGAATTTGTATCGATCTGGTATCCATCAAATCCATCTAAAAGTAGAGAAACTTTGTACAAAAGACATTATGGTAGGTATAATATCATCAAAGGTACCGATGAATCGATGTTCTTATGCGTTTGAAGGAAGTTACGGATGGCATTTACAGGGGAAATCAATCTATCGAAACGGTATTTTAACCACCATATGTTATGATGCTGATGTGATTGAAGATGATGAATTTATTTTGACAATTAACTGTACCCAGCAAAATATATCATTGCTGAATAAGCGGACTAATCGTCAGTCTCAGATACCTATTGTGCTTCAAACAACTCCATTTCCATGGCAGTTGAGACTCAATTTGTGTGATCTAGGAAGCTGTGTGCGAATAATTGAATGAAACTACCCTACTCTCGCACGTTCACAGATAACTCTGACTATTGCCACATTAAAATTATAAAATCAGTTCCACGCTTTAAACTTTGCTGAATATTTGTCTATTTTCGAGCAGTTATGCGCTGATACAATTGTGTGTTTCGAAGAATCCTGATTATAAATAACACTTTTTTCGACATAATAGACGACTCAACAACTATGTACCCGTAATAGCAATTGTAGCGGCGATCAAGACTTGTCTAACTAGAAAACGATGCTTCATGGAAGAGATGTTTGATAGAGAAAACTTTGTACTCATTTTGAAGAAAAATCTGTATATGGATGAGAAATAATTTTTCAGAAACAAACGACAATCTCCATGCGCCGACTGAGAATTTCCTTATTACATCATAGCATCCAAGAATAAATTTTCGGGGAGAAAGTATCCCATTCGATTTTTCATCATTGAGAACCCACAAATCCAGATTTTTCACTTTGGACCCTTGTAGTTCCTACGTTATGAATTATTTCCCCAACGAACGTCTCACCAGTGTCTGAAGAAGCAGTCGGATCAGTATTTTGACTATAACGCTGAAACTACTTGACCGATTTTTTCGATAGAACAGGCAATTCTTAATAAAATAGGAAGTTTCAGTCGGCCAAAAAGTACATAGTTCGCTTGGTAGATTCAAAATACTGAAAAAATATGTTTTTCAAAAACATGATTTTTTCATTTAAGCTGTGTTTTTTTGATCCCTTGGATACTCAGTCCAGAAATTTTACTTATGCGCTTTATAGAGGAAACAATTCTGCATAAGACAGGCATATCAAAGAATTTTAAGATGTACTAACAAGCTGTTTTAGGAGGTTCACAAGTTACGCGCGTCATATTCCTAAAACGGGCACTTAAGAGGGAACCTCTTGAGGTTATAAATCGCTTTTGAACTCAGACTATTTTATCTTGTAGATCTCAGTGAGTAGTGAAATAAGTTGGTTTGTATCCATGGTGCTTTGTTGCTGAGATATTAGTCAGTTTTTGCCTATAGAGCTTGGATTTGAAGCAAAATCCGACTTTAGAATTTTGATTTCAAACTTGCCACACTTGTAGCCCATGGTCATAGTAGTACCAACGAAAAATGTTCGATGCTAATGAATTTTTCTGCCTTGAGATATTGAGACTCAAACATAACATAAACAAAAACAAACAAAAATTGATACTACTATGACCATGGGCTACAAGGGTGGCAAGTTTGAAATCAAAATTCTAAAGTCGGATTTTGCTCCAAATCCGAGCTCTATAGGCAAAAACTGACTAATATCTCAGCAACAAAGCACCATGGATACAAACCAACTTATTTCACTACTCACTGAGATTTACAAGATAAAAGTAGTCTGAGTTCAAAAGCGATTTATAACCTCAAGAGGTTCCCTCGTTAATACAAGAAAGTTCTTCTTTATTGTATGTTCTGCCCTGTTTGATAAAATATTATTATATTCGTTATCTACGAACAAAATGGCATCGAATGAGGTACCACTCAATGTTTAAGTAATGATACTAGTCATTGAGCACTTCCATCCTTGCTATCATATCTCCGATCGCTTTTGATCGTGTCTATGGGCAAATTAGGTAGTACTATAATTCGAGTTAGTAGAACTATTCTTGCTCCATTATTATTAACTACGGAATGTACTATTTCAGGCTCCCAAGTAATAATAAGGATAATTGACACCGTTTTACGAGTACTTTATCGTTATTATGCGTTGTTGATCAGTCTTGAAAAGAATCGGTTATCTGTGTTTCTTTCGGTAAGTAAATGAAGAGCTTTAAATTTTCGAAACTTGCACTTTTTTTACTTGATCTTTTCGGCGGTGTTCCTATGGAGAAGGCCCTCTCATTTGCATGACTTGTTTTTCAAAAACTTTCAGAAACTTTTTCAACAAAAGAGAAGGTATATCCAGCAGATCAACAGCTATTTGTTAGAAGAATCTTTTTGAGGTTCTTTAAAATCAGAGAAAATGTTCAAAAAGCAAGAAGAGCAAATTATTGCTTGACTTCTTCATTCCCGAGATCACGAAAAATATAGATCATTGCTCAAAACAGATGTTCCCATATCAGTGAATAAGTCAAAAGTTAATAGCTATCATAATTAAACAAAATTTTGAAAACATAGGTGAGAACCATAATGGCAAAAAGTATTTAGAAGCTCAATCAAAGAGCCACGATATACCATCTAAGACCGTTTTTCTGGCAGACTTTCTCTGAAATGATTTCTTATCAAGCTCCAATTAGTCCTTAACGGGAGCCGATAAGACAGCACAAACCAACTAAGACAATTTCCAGTTATTAAAATGTTAAGTTATTCGCTCTTGTATCGTATATATAATTCCTTTTCTGTAAATACATCTAACGAGGGAACTTTTTTAAGTGATACTCTCCAATTCGGTTCGTTCGCATAGCATTCGATAGAGGGTAGTAGGGTAGTAAAAAGCCTAAAATATTAGCGGCCCCTTTGGCTTCTTTCAAAAGTTATAGGAATTTTTCTATCATTCCCAGCCAAAA